GCAATTGCACATTCTAAACTTGGTAAGATAATGAGAACTTCAATATGCATTTTTATTCTATTTTGAAGCTATTGAGTTGTCAGTAGTAGTTTTCTGAAAAAGGTAATGATTTTGAATGCATGCCCGGAAAAATTTACATCTTATCTTGGCCTCTCAAATATACAAAGAAGTAACCTCTTACCCCAGATATCAACGAGCATCACAAGTTTTTCCCAAAATTATAGTAATGGTAGTTGGTTTGCAACATGTATGGCTAATCAGAGATATTTATTTCAATAACAGGAAATCACCAGGATTCACTAAGGGATGCAGAAGCAGCCATTGAGTTAAATCCAACTTTCCTTAAGGCAATTGTGAGAGGTTAGATATGTTAGCTGTGCTATAATAATAGTGCTATAATAATAATAATAAAAAGAACTCAACACTCTAAGGTTAAATGAGGTTAAATGGAGTTCAATCTTATCTCAATTGACTTTAATTAAGAGGTCGAGACCACCCTGATGTACATTTGAATCCAGCTCTTGACTGTTACGCCATTACTTTCTATTAATCATGATGAGAATATTATTTTGAACGGGATGAAGAACTAAATTCAGAATGCAAAGCAAAATTTCAGCATGAATATTTTAGTTCCTAAAGTTCAATGAGAGCACCGGGCAGTCGTGCTACATGCCATCTCACCCATTTCAATGAGACTTTACCAGTTTAAAGGGTCTACCCCAAAACTAAAAAGACAGACTGGTTTCTGTTTTGGTTTCTTCCGGGGGGAGATAGACCACCACCCGGTTTTTCTTGGTTTTCACCAAGGAAATCGCTTCAAATAGATAAAATGTATGAAGCTCTCACTACGATGGTATTTAACCGATTACTTTGAGGATTTGCACACATATTTTTACATCCTTGGTTAATGTCTGTTGCGAGTATCAGTCAGTTTGATCGACGGCTTGTCAATCAACAGAGGCAAATATACGACTGTGTTTTTAGACTTTTCGATTCATCCAAATATTTTACAACTTTGAGGTCAAATATCTCCCGTTGCCAGAAAGCTACAACACTTATCTTAATTACCCTTTATAACCCATCATTTCATCTCTGAAAATCATCCAAAAAATCTTTGGGCACTACCGTATTTTTGTCTTGGATGCCTTTTAAAATCTACGACTGTGACAAGTTTCTCTCAACTACACCTGTCACGCAATTCTTGCTCTAGGCGGTCACTTGACCTACAGAACTAAAAAAATGTAGGTTTATTTTGTCAAGTGACCGTCTAGAGCAAGAATTGCGTGACGGGTGTACTTGAGAGAAACTTCTTATTATTCTTCTTGTTATTCTTTTCCGTTTACTTTCTTTGTTTTGTTTTGTTTTGTCTTTTTTTTTCTTCTGGTCTGTAATGATTTCAATGCTTTCAGGTTCTTTTCTCAGAATTGAGCTACAGTAAAAGTATGCTTCTTTGTGTTGTTGCCTACAGGAGCCGCTGCTTGTCTTGAATTGAAGAGATTTGAAGAAGCA